CAAGTGGGTAGAGGTGGGTCTCAGGGTGGCAGAACCTACTCTCTCCGTGGACCTTCATCCTCCCCTAAGCACCGTGATGGGGCGGCTCACTGCCTGCGCAGCCTCCTCAGATTGGCTCTAGCAATGCACAAAGTGCATCCTGGGCTCCTGGGGGACCGCTGTCTCCCCCGCCCCCATCCAAGGATCATCTCCGGGGTTGGTCGGGTGGGCGTCCTACTCAGTCCCTCCATCTCAGCGGAGGGCCCCCTCGGAGCCTAATCGGCCTGCCAACTTTCGGGCTGCGAAGCCCCGCGGCTTCTGCCCAGGAGCGTCCAGCAGGTGCCCCTGCAAATGCCTCAGGTCGCGCGCTCTCCTCACCTGCATCCTGGGCCACCCCTTCCACTTGTTGCTTCAGGTCCTGCAAGGCCTTGTTGGCCATGGCTACGGGGTATCTGCGAGGTCGTCAAGGGTAGCCGAGGCGACGTTGACTCCTGCTCACAGCAGCGGAAAAACAGAGCACCAGCTCTGGTTTTTAAGGCACCCCAGGGCCGGCCCGCCCTGCGGAGGGCGGGGGTGAGGGGGTGCGGGGCGGTTCCCGGCAGACGGGCTCAGGGAGTGACCGGGACCTGCTCCAGGCTTTGCGCGCCTGGGGAGCACAGTCTGGCCTCAGGCGGGCAACGGTGGGAACGCGGTGGCTCTAGTCGGGGTTGGAAGAGGGGCTAGGAGTGGCAGAGGGACGGGTCAGGAGTCCAGAGAGAGGCTGGGGGCAGGAAGCGGACGCACACACCTCCTGTACCCTGACGGCCTGTTTCCTGGCTCTGGGACCCGGAGAAACCCCAGTCCGTGAGCGTTGGGTCGGCGCCAGGTCGGGATTTCCAGGCTAGAATGGAAATTAATACTAGCAGCTACCTTTTATTTTACTTTGTGCAAGGCGCTGCCCCAACGCTTTCCAGCCTCTGGTATAATCTTTACAATCTCGTGAAATGGGTATTATCAGTTTATGGGTAGAAACAGACACAGAGAGGACAATACACTGCAAACAGGCCACCGGCCAGCTGCCACTGGGACCCGGCGGCCAGAGGGGTGGGGAGAGTCGAGTCAATTCTTCTCCCCACCCCTCCCGCACCCCAGTAGAGGGTGCGTCACTGGCTTGCGCCACTGGGGACTGTCAGTTGGGCTCTGGGAGTGGGGTTAGAGACCTGCGCGTAAGTGGAGGAGCCAGCACCTTGAGAACAACAAAACCGCGAGGCACAGCCTCCCGGTACTCAAGGGCGCAGGTCCGGTCCCCATCCCGCCCGCGCCCACTTCGGAGTCCGGCTTCGGAGTCTGGAGGCCACCGCAGCACACACACACACACACCCTCCGTGTCTCTGTGGGACATCGCGACCCTCTCCAGTGCTGCTCTCTGATTCTTCCTCTCCAAGCCTGTCTGCACGTCTATTGGAATTTCCCCTATTCTGACGCTCTGGGAAGCTCCACCTATTCAGCTCTGCCCTACTTCTGATGGGGGTGGGAGAGGGAGAGGATGGGGTTAAGCTGGTTTCAGCCCCTAATGTAGTGTATCTGGAAGCGCTCGCACACACGCACGCTGGGAAAGGATTGCTGGAAGATAAGGTCAACTCTGCGCAAGAGAAAGGGACCGCTGCTGAGATCAGGTAGGGGGAGGGGACACCAAGCGCAGCTAACAGATCAGCTGCCACGCCTGCTCCCTCCCTTCCCCACCCGTCTGGGCTTTGAGCCTAGAGCACAAAGGCATTGCGGAGAGCCGCCTAATGGCGGGTTCCGGGACTCCGGGAACCCTGCCTGGTCACGGCCCCAGGCCTGCCAGCCCTCTTGAAATCTCACCAGAAGCGCCAGTCTCTTTAGCCTGGAAGGCCTTTTACACTGCTCCGATTAGCTCCTCTGGGCTGCTGAGACTACTTGGTGTCAGGCCCAGTGGGCAAAGAGCAAGACTGGGAGACTGTGGCCGGCGGCAGCAGGTGATAATAGAGACAGCTCTGAGTGGCCCTAAAGCACCAGGCACTGGAATCAGACCTCTTGGGTTCAACTACCCACTAGGGCAAGACCGTTGATCTTTCTGAGCCTCAATGTTCCTATCGTTGATGGTGGGGGCACTATAACAGAATTTCCCCAAAGTGTTACTATGAGGATTAAATGGGCTGAAAGGATGCCCCACACTCAGCCAGGGCCTTCAAGAGGGGGCAGGGCACCGGACAGGGGCTTTTCTGATAAGGAGAGGGATAGAGAAAGGGCAGTAACTCCTCTAGGGAAGTCAAGTGCAGCCCGACAGAGAGCACATATGGGGGTTTAAGGGCAAAGTGCACTGCAGGTGCCATGGGGTGGGGAGGGTCTTCCTGGACTGGGCAGTCTTTGATGTTTGGCATTTGACTCCAGGAACAGGCCCTGAGTATGTGTTTAGGGTGGTGCCGAGCAGCAAGGACCCTTGCAGGCTCCTTCAGCTGAGACGGGGCACTGGGAGCATGGTGAAACACTGCCCCCAGGGGCCAGGTCTAGGTGTCCCCTTACCCCAGTTACCTGAGTGGCCTGGCTCCTTCTCACTTTTTCTTACAGCCCAATGAGCTCTCCGGCACACCCAGGCCCCTCCTAGGGCATGCACAGGCCCGCTGATATGCACATGTCTAGGCTGCAGCCTGGGACACCCCTGACTGCCCCAGCCTCTTCTACGCCCTTCATGCCTCCTATATAGCAGGGTTTAGGGGCCTGGGAGACAAGCAGCCCCCTGCTTCTTTTTACCTCCTCAGCAGTGGATGGCCATGGCCAACAGGCTGAGATACAACCCTGCTCAGCTATGCTTGACTGGGTTCCCAGCCCCCAGGGCTACACTTGACCCCTGCTCCCCACAACAGAGGCAGGATGGGAAGGGGGTGTGGACCCAGTAGTGTCTGAAGTTGGGTGTGCACTCTGGCTCTGATACCAGTACTGGAGGCCTGGGGCAAGTCACTTAGATGCTCTGAGCCCAAACTGTCTGGGTATCAAAAAGGAGGGAATCCTGTTCTCTGCTCTGCCACCTCTGAACAAGCCTCCAGGACACCGACCAGCCTGATCCCAGGATGTTTTGAAATCTGGGGCATGGCAGAATCTGGTATAAGCTCACTGGAGCCTGTGCAGTCAGGGCAGCCATGGACGTTAAGAGAAAACCACGGGCCCAGAATGGCGTCCCTTATGCTAAAAGCCTATGATCCAAACTTAGATTTAATACCTCATCTATTGCAGTTTCAGCCTCTCCCAGAAACATAATCGATGTGCAATTTTCTGGTCAAGCACCAGTAAGGTGCTCTGTCACATGGGCTCTCTGTCCCCTATAGAAAGAAGAGACAACCTGCATGATAAAAACCCTTCCCGTGTTCTTCTGTTCTTTCATTCTCTTCACCCAAAGAAAAGATGTCCCTGCCAAAAGCAATCTTTTCTTTTGTCAATAGCTCCCTGGCCCCACCTTTCTTCCTATAAAAATGTTCCATTTTGTACAACCCCTTGGCGCTCCCTTCTAGTTGCTAGATGGATGCTATCCGATTCATGACTTGTTTACTAAAGCCAAGTAGATGCTCAAATTTAATTTTGTTTTTTTACAGTCAACTGGGTGACCCTGTAGCCAGGCCACCTGGGCTTCTGTCCAGTCCCAGGCTTCCTAGCTCTGTGCCCTTGGACAAAATGTTTAACCTCTCTGTTCCTCAGTTCATCAGAGAGTGACACATCAGAACAACTATTTGTTCTGAGGATTAAATGAGGTAAAGCACTCAGAACTGTCTGACACCAGGGAGGAGCTCAACATATATTTGGTTTTACCATTTTTCTCTCAAGGGGTAGGCTTATTCTCCTGCATCTCAGCTGCTGTGTTTTCTAATGATACTTGACAGACTTCTTGGGGAAGGAAAGGAGAGCCCAGCTCCAACCTGGTGGGAGTTTGACACTGGGTGGAGCCAGCTGGAGGAGTCCTCAGGTCTGGTCCTTCTCTGCGAAGAGGAGGAAGAGGATGGAAGACTCCTGGCTATGTGTTTAGACTTCACAACTTTGAAAGATATGATCTGCTCTGGGGAGGGGTGTTAGGTGTCCCTTTCTCTGTAGGACACTGGAGCCAAGGACACACCACAAAGGGATGGCCCAGGAGTACTATCCTCACCTCTTGGTGTCATGGGCCAATCCCCGGAGGGTGAGCTACATCTCAAACCTGGAGGTATCCCTTGCGCCCTCAAGGACAACCTAACCTTGAAGTTGTCCTGGGAGCCCAAAGCCAGGGCCACCTCCTCTACATTAAAAGGCAATGATGGATGGGTTGGGGGTGGGAGGAGTTCCCTGAAGGCAGTGCCTACTCTCATCAGGTTCCAGCAATGTCCAGGGTGTCTCTGTAGGGCACCTGGTCCCAGATATTCTTCCCTGAGCCATCAACAGGCTGGATCAACTCTGTTCCCGGGAGGGCCCAGGGAGCTTCTTCATGAATGAGGCAGCATACAGAGAAGCAGGGGCGAGTATGACCGGGGTGGGGACTTGAGTTTTATTTGAAATCATTAAAAAAAAAAAATTCACAGCAGCATCTGTGGGGTGAGAAGGACCAGAGGCTGGGAGGGGTCAAGGGAGAGAGATGAAAGTGGCAGCAAGAGAGGACAGGCATGTGGTGGCTGGGTGCAGCATGGAAGCATGGGAGACCCCAAAGGTCACAGTCCAGGACCAGGCACTCCTGTGCCAGGAGGGGATGAGGTCCAGGCTGAGGGGTGTTGCAGTCCTCTAGTCTCCCCCACTCTTGGCCTAAGAGAGAGAGTGACCGTCACACACAACTCTGGGCCCCCACCCCTCAGTGGCCACCTTGAGGGGGTGGGGACAGGAGTTACCTTTGTCCCTCTTCCCTGAGGCAAACATTCATGAGGGGACCTCACACTTAGGCTCAGGGCTGCATTAGGTCAGGAGTCTCCCCTCAGGGCTCTGCGACCCCAAGAGGGAAGTAGCGAGTCTAGAACCTTCTCTGGAGGGTGGCTTGCCCCGGGACCCCTGGTGTAGCTCGGTAGCTTGGCTCCTACCTCTTCAGTTGCTTCCTCTTCCACTTTGGCTGCCTCATCCTCCTGTGGGGGGGCAGGCTGCTTCGTTTCCTCCTGTGGGGAGCAAAAGGGATGTGGGACTACATGGAGGGCACAGAGTCCCAGCTGCCTGGCAACCAGGGCCTCGTCCACCCTGGCCTCAAAGGTGAACAGAGGGCTGGCCAAGTGGCTTAGTTGGTTAAGAGTTAGCTTAAGAGCGCGAGCTCTGAGCAACAGGGCTGCTGGTTTGATTCCCACATGGGCCAGTGACACTGTGCCTGAGCTGAGCTGCTGCTGAGCTGCCCACAGGTGGCAGGATGGCTCAGCTGGTGAGAGCATGTGCTTCTAACAATAAGACTGACTGTTAGATAGTGGGCTATGCCCGCCAGCAACTAAGACTGAACTTGGCACCTTGAACTGAGCTGCCGCCCAGATGGCTCAGTGGATAGAGCATGCGCTCTTAACAACAAGGCTGCCAGTTCGACTCGCCCATGGGATGGTGTCTATGCCCACCCGCAACTAAGACTGAACTCGGCATCTTGAGCTGAGCTGCTGCCCGGATGGCTCAGTGGATAGAGAGTGCGCTCTTAACAACAAGGCTGCTGGTTCGACTCCCGCATGGGATGGTGGCTACGCCCACCCGCAACTAAGATTGTAACACAGCACCTCGAGCTTAGAAACCACGAGCTGAAGACAGACAGCCAGATGGCGACTGGCACCCTCCACAATGAAGGTTGAAGAACAACAACTTGGCTGGTCCCCTTCCCCAATTCCCCAACACTGTTCCCCTCCCCCAATTCCACAATTTAAAAAAAAAACACATTAAAAAAAAAAAAGCTGAACAGAGGCCTTCATCACCTTGCTATACACGGTAGGCCAAGGTGAGGGAGGTGTGAGGGCCAGACTAACTATAGGGGTAATAGAGCATCATGTAAGGGCCCGCAGTGGGGGCTCTGTCTGATGATGCCAAGACCTTTTGGTGGTACCAAGTACCCTGGAACCCAGCTTCACCTCTGCAAGCTGATGCTGAGACCCTGGGCAGCCCCTGGTTGGGCCTCGATGAGGAAGCCAGGTGGGGTGGGTGGCGGTGGGCAGTGTCCCCTGATGACTTAGGCCTGACCTCACCCTCAGTGTCTCGGAATCACAGGATCACACACCCTTGTCCTCCCGAGCCCACAAAAAGCCCTAGGAAAAGGGATGTGTCATCACTGTTTCCATGGAGACCCTGAGGCCAAGGAGGCCAGGAATCCAGCTTGAGACCTCAGAGCTCAAAATAGTGGGGCTGGTAGGGATCAGGTCTGGCTTGTTCCAGGCCCACCACTATCCCCAGCAGCATGAATGCCTCCTTCCCTCCACCCTGCCTCCTGTGTGGACTGGCTCTAGGCTCAGGCTGGTCGGGTTGCAGCGGCAGGGGTTATACGAACCTCTCCCGCTTCCTGTCTCCTACCCCTATACACCCAGCTGGATGCTTGCCTGAGATGGGGGCCTGCCTGGGGGTGGTCTTGTGACAGCTAGTGGGCAGGCCCAGACTGGATGATCAGCACCTCTGGAGGTTCTGTCACCTCCATGCTACCACAGGGCCATCCTTCCCCTTGGTGCCCTGGGGCATAAAAGGGCACTGAACTCTGCCAGCCAGAATTGGGGCAGTCTTCCAAGTGAAGGATGGGTGGCCACCTGCCTAGTCTTACTGCCCCAAGTCAGGGGTATGAGGCCAGTGGCACGAGCAGTCAGACGGATAGGTGTGTCCTTCCACAATTCACTGGAGGGTGAGTCGTGACTGGCTTTGGGTGTCACCAGGAAATGTCTCCCTTGAGGTAGCCACTCCCACCCCCAGGACTGGGGTGGCTCCAAGGGCTCACCAGACCTCCTCTTAGGAGTGGGAAAAGGAGGGTCCTGCCCAGGAGCGCTGCTGATGATGATATAGTCACCTCCCTCTGTTGGGTGCTCACCATGAGCCAGGCGTAACCGCTTCATGGGGGCCATGTCCCTGCATCATCACACAACCAGGTGAGGCAGATACCCTCACCTCCCTCCTGGTTTTAAAAATGAGGAAATGGAGGTTCAGAGAGGTAGCTTTCCAAGGTCATACAGCTAAGAAGGGGCAGAGCTGGGAACTAGGAGAGGAAGCAGCTGCCTCTGCAAGGACATGGAAACCCTGTGCTGGCCCTGGAAGCAGACACCTTGGTGCTGCCCCCAGAGCCAGGGGAAGCGCGACCGGCCCCCTCCCCTGCCACCTACCCACTCCCGGAGCAAGGATCTGAGTGCTGGGTGCTCTGGGTGCCTGTACCAGGTAGGGAAGCTCTCCAGAGGACAGCCTCAGACAAAGCTGGGGACAGCTCCTTGGAATGCCCCCAATATGGATCCTACTCTCATTGAGACCTTACACTCATACAGCAGCTCCTTGTACAACCACAGGCTTGGAGCCGGGCTGCCCTGGGACGTGCACACTCACACAGACTAGCCACACAGACTAGCTGGGACCTTGGGCACAACGTTTAATCTGTGTGAGCCTCATTCCCACACCCTCTCTCATGTGATTTTGTAGCGATTAAATCAGTTAATGCTCATAAGTGTAAAATGCTTCAAGCAGAGCCTGCTCTGTGGTGAGTGCTGGGATGGCCCACCGGCCGGCCTCCACCTCCTGGGGGTGGGGAGTCCCACCGTTCCTGTTGTCAGGCAGCACACAGACACACACACACACATGCACACTCACACAGGCGCACACTCAACACCGCACACAAAGGCAGAGGCAGAGGGCGGGGTCAGAACCTCACTGTTTTTCCATCACCAGGAGGTGCTGCTTCCCTGCTACTCCTGCAAGGAAGCAGCTGCCCACTAGAGGGTGGGGAGCTAGACTGGACACCAGGTGAGTGGTGACTCCCTCGTGTCCACTGCCCGGGAGGCTGTTTGTCACCACGTGGGGCCCACAGGACCCTGCCTTCACTGCTGAAATGTGGTATCTCTTAAATGCTGAGCACCATCAAGAGGGTGTGGTTTTGAGCCTCATTTTCCAGTTGGGCCCCAAACTGGCCCCCTCACAGAAATAGCTGTGAAGGTCCTAAGTTCACACTGATGTGGAAAACACCAAGCACAGACCACCACAGCCCCTAAGTCTCCGTTTCCCTGTATGTCAATGGGGTGATCATGCCTCCTCCCCAGCTGGCCTCTCTGGGGCTCAGGAGAAAGGTTTTGAGAACCAGGACTGGGGACCAGGTCTCACCTTGTGCACCACTCCTGAGGTGACCGCGATGTTCTCCACCTCCTCCACGGTCTTGGTGGCCACGGTGTTGACACTGGTGACCACGGCCTCACTCACGGCATTGGCCTGCTCCTTGGTTTTCTCAGCCACTGTGGGAGGACTCTGGCTGGCCTTGGCCCTGACCTCTACCCACCCATGCCTGGCTTGCCCAAGTCAGGCCTGAGCAGCCCCTTCCCAGGGCGCTTTAACCTCTGGCTCTACCCAAGAGCCTCGGCTGCTCCCTTTCTGATGCCAGGGGAGCGCTGATGATGATTGGGGTGGCCAACCCTGGGTCTAGCCTCAGGTTCTGAGGGGACTGGGTCCATGTACAGCTTGGGATCCCAGTTTGGGGGTAAGGAGGACCCTGGGCTTGGGCCTTTAGTACTAGGGTGCAGAAGTCCCTGGAGGTCCCAACCCCCGTGTTCCCTGGCCACAGGGCTCCTCACCTGAGGTCACGCTCTGCACAACACCCTCCTTGGTCTTGGCTCCTGGGGAGAAAAGGGAGGCATCAGCCCAGGCCCACTCCTCTCGGTGTTGGGAGGGGGGTGGTCAGGGCAACAGAATAGCTGGACAAGCTTCAGGGTCGGTATTGGGTGAGGATGGTGTCTGGAGGCTGGCAGTCCCTTCAAAAGACACTTCCTGCTGTGTCTGGAAGAAGGGGATGGATGGGAAGTGGACAGGACAGGATGGGGGGATGAGAGCGATCAGGACTGAGCTGGGGTCTGGACCCCGCCTGGGTGTGGCCTGGGCCTCGGAAGCAGCTGCAGGACGGGGCTGACAAGAGCTGAGTCATCAGCTCAGCCTCCTCTTGGGAGGAAGCTGAAGGAGAATGAGGCTGAACAAGACACTGACTAGCCATGGGACTGAGCCTGGTCTCATCTCTCTACCCTGCTCCTTTCTCTGAATAGGGTGGGGACCTGTAGCCTGGTTGCTGAGCACCTGTCAGCTCGGCCCGTGGGGGCTTCAGGCTCCATGTGGCTTATCTGAGTCAAGGGACCTGTGCGTTAAGGAGGGGAGGGGAGGGCCGTTTGCATTTGTGTATGCATAAACACATGTGTCCCAGAGCCAAGTACCCCTTCTACTGTCCTGTCCCAGAGACTCCTGAGGCCCTGAGGAGGCTGAAATGGACATTGGTGTATGCAGGAGAGTGGAGGTGCTATAGGGTCCAGAGACCCTGACTCAACAGCCAGGTCCTCATCCCAAAATGCCACCCTGGGGCTGAGGGAAAGGTCAGACCCAAAGTAACAGGGCATCCCAAGCTCTGGCCACCAAGCTTTTCCTCCCTGCCCCGCCCAAACTCACCCACATACATGACACCCTCCTTCGTCTTCTCAGCTGCTTCCGTCACCCCCTGCTTGGTCTTCTCCACAGCACCCACCACACCCTCCTTGGCGATGGAGAAGCCCTTCTTGAAGACATCCATGGTGGTGGCAGGAACGGACACCTGACTCTCCCTGCAAGCTGTGGCTGGAGCTGGCGCGAGTGCTGCTGCAGCCGCTGTCCCCACTGCTGCCTCTTATTGACGCCGATGAAATATTGATGATGCAGCGGCGGCGGGCCTGTGGGAGCCCAGCCAGCCTGGGGGGCGGGAGCAGGCGGGCGGGCGGGAGAGAGGGAGGAGGCTGGCAGCAGGTCTGGACACATCTTTATCCATTATTGCCCCTCATTCATTCACTGCCTTGCCCACCCACACGGGCAGCCTGGCCAGGGGTGGTTGTGTCTGTGACATCTGGGGCAGAGAGGGGTCAGAGAGGGGAGGCGCGTGTGCTACCAGTGTTCCAGGTAGGTTAGGGGTCAGGACCATGTCAGCCTGTCAGGCAAGAGTGGCCAACCTCCCAGACCGGCCTGGGCTGCCCAGCCACTCACTGTGGGGCCCCCATCCGGGACCGTGGAGGAGCCGGGGTGGGGCACGCAAAGGCTTCCCTCAGCCCTGGCCTCTGGCTACACTGTGTGGCCCTCAGACAGCCCCCTTCTCCCACCTGCTGGTCCCCACAGCCTAGTGATGACAAGCACTGAGCAGGCATGAAGTGCCCCCACTTCCTGGTCACCAGCATGAATGCGTAGCAGGTTCCCTGAGACTGACCAACCACTTCTGCAGCACACTTCAACCCTTGTGCTCTTCTCCTAACTCGCACGGGGACATATTCAGCGGGGCCACTTGCCTGCATCTCCCACACCCCCAGGGGCCTGACCCAAGTCCCCTCAAGGCACAAGAGCCAGCTGGGTGGCTGGCTGCCTCTGTGTGGGCCAGGAGGTGGGGGTATGTGTGAGGGGCCGGATGAGACGCACTGAGTAGGCCGGCCCAGGCCACTTCCTCCCTTTGTTGTCCCTGTGCTTTCTTTTCCTTCTGAGTCTTAACTCAAGCAGTTTATGGAATCACTGGCAAAGGCTGAGTCTGTCCACTGCCAGCATGATCCTGACACTGCTTCTCGGTCTCGGGGGTACCCTGGGCTGGGGGTTGCTGGGGGCTCAGGCCCAGATCCCCAGTACCAGATTCTCTGATCCACACAGCCGCAGGCTGTCTGGGGTCTGGAGGGCAGAGGCTGAGGACATCGACAGGGACTCCATCAGACGGTAAGGAGGGACCTGGGCCTTGGGAGACATTGTGGTGCTGGTTCTAAATCCCAGCTAAGCCAGAGCAGGGGTCTCTGGACCTCAGTTACCCATCTGTAAAATGGGCTAATATTTTCTATCCGCTGTACAGCTGTGTGGCTGAATGAGGTGCTAGGTGCCAGGCTCCCCTTCAAGAGGCACCCCCAGCCAGCCTGGACTGGGCATCCTAGGGCCCAGCCTGAGGACCACAGGAAATTCTGCCTGACCTGTGACAGGAAATGGGCCTGGGGATTGGGCAGGGTGGGAGCACTTCTTGCCATCTACCACCCAGCATGGGGTGCTGAGGGGCTGTGGCTCCGGAAGTTTCCAGGTGGCCTGGCAGCGGCTCCTAGTTTTCGAAGTCAGTCAATTTTGAAAGCTGAGCTGAGGTGAGGCTGGCCCATAGCCACAGATGACAGATTTGCAGGGGGCGGGGGTGGGCGTGTGCTGGGTTTTGATCCAAGGGCCATGGGGGACTGGTGCGGGTCCTCAGGCCAGCTCTGAGAGTGAGCAGTGATCAGAGAGGGTGCCTTCTCCACCTCCAGAACAAAAAGGTGGGACATGCAGCGAGCTCTGCTTCAGTGCCCCTCTGGGAATGGGCAGAAGGACCAGGACACTATTTTCCAGTGTTCTATTTGTCCAGGGCCAGGGATCCTCCTGCTAATAAGGTGCTAGACCTGCAGTTCCCTCCTCAGGGTACCCCACAGTCACAGCAGCAGATGCCATTTATTAGGCCAGGCACCTTGCCACGTGTTATCTCAGTTAATCCTCCCAATAGCCCTAGTTACAGAGAAATCTGCAGCTCAGAGAGGCTAAGCATCTGGCCCAAGGTCACACAACTGAGGAGAACCTGACCCAGGACCTGAGTCTTACTCCAGAGCTCAGGTTCTGATCCCTGGAGTACTCAGAGGCAGCCCTGGTCACCATCTCGTGGGCTCACAGAACACATCTGCCTGGGACAGTCTCCTACACAGCTCTGACACTGCAAGGTGAATGTGTTTGTTGGACACTTTCCCGAACATGGATTTGACTAAGGAGAGCAGGAGGGTGAGAGTAAGTGAGTGCACACTGACCCTCAGTGAGGGAAGGGCTGGCTGTGTGGGGAGGAGGGGCCCCAAGGTGGACCTAGACAGACCCCATTCTTGCCTTCCCTCAGTTCTGCTCAGGGCTGGGAGGCACATGTGGCTCTGGTGGGGAACCCAGACACACTGGTTTCAAGGCTGAGCACCAAGGCCTCCCTCCCCAAAGCCATTAGCTCCATGCCCCTATCTCTGGGCCTCCGGCCCCCTTTCATGAAAGGAAGAGTAAAGGGCCCAAGTGAGTGGGAAGAAAGTGGGAGACACTCCTCTTTGTCCCCATCCTCTCAGCTGTGGGGAGGGACTGCATTTTCTTAGCCCCAGAGAGGGTGGGCCTCTGGACTGCTTGTGGGCTGCTCTGTAGGGGTCACTCAGCCATTATCTGGGTGGCTGTGGTGTGTACAGAGTGTGTGCAGGTGCACACAAAGGTAACTTGGCCCGGGAAAGCCCAGGCAGGCATCCCAAGCCCTAGTCCCAGGGGTCTCCAGGGGGTCTCAGCAGGCCCACGGTGTCTCCTTCCCACAACCCGGAAGCTTCGGTCCCCACTGGTCAAGCCCAGGTTGTTGGGGCCTCCAGAGGGATTCGTGAGAAAGGAAGGAAACGCTGCTCAGCTTCCTCACGCTGATTGCTTCCCCTGCTCCTGTGAAGAGAGAGGAAACACGACTTCAATCTCCCTCCTGCAGCAGGGGAAGGGGAGGTGGAACAGGCACTCCACACTCAAGCAGAGGCGCCAACACCATCAGCCACAAGCCTGGTGGACCCACCACGCCTGACTGCCAGAGCGAGGCCTCCTGCCCTGCATTTGCCCTTCACACCCGTTTCTGGGGCCTGGGGCCTGAGGCCAGGGCAGGCCACAGGACACAGACCCAGATAAGTAAGACCCTTTGCAAGGAAAAGGTTGAACAGAACAACTTGGTGCCCTATGCCAGGTTCTGGGGTGGAGGAGAGACATAATTGAGTGCTTCCTAGGTCCCCGGAGACCCTGAGGGGCAGGACCCATGGAGACAAGAATGCGGGTACTGGACTCTGTTGGGCAGGAGGCTCTTTTGCGCTCCCTGGTGGGGGTGGGGAGGGCAGCAGTTTAGAGTGTGGGCTCCTCAGACACAGCACTGAGCCTGCAGAGAGGACCAAGCTGTCCCATTCCACATTGTTGTGACAGCGCTGAGGTCACCACTGTTCTCTCCACTTCACTTTACATGTTGTGAGGCTTGGGGCGGGGGGTGGGGAGCAGGTCAGAGCCAAGCACCACTTCTGCTGGGCTGCAAATCCCAGGCGTCCTCTATCCTGTCTCCCCCAAGATGGGTGGGAGTGTAGGAGGAGATGTTCTCCCAGCATCCCAGCTGGCCCCAAGCCTCCAGCATCAGCTTCTCCTGACCCATGCTCAAGGAGCATTTGTGATTTTTGCAGCTGGGGCCCAGAGGAGTCACGCATATTGCTGGGGGTCACACAGGAGCAGGGTGGGGCCCAGGCCCTCAGTGGCTCCTCCTACACCGTTCCTGCTGTCTGCGGCACAGGGCCCTGGGCACAAACAGGGAAAACCCCCACTGGCCGGAGTCACACTCAGGGAACCAAGGCTCTGGGCTGGATGCGGAGTGGTCCTCAGGCTCCTCTGCTAAGGCCCCCTTTCTGGCTCAGAGACAAAGCCCTGCAAAATTCACTCCTAGAGTGGTCACATTCCGGGCTGGCTGCATTTAGAGCCTCAGAGAGCAAGGATGCCTGAGAACACGCCCTCCTTCCCCAGGAAGACTTCAGGGGCAGCTGGAGGTGGGTTTCACTGGCTAGTTAAGAGGCACTTAAGTGTCCCAGGGGGCCATGGCAGCAGCACATCTATAATTCAGGAGGCCCCAGCTAACAGCCTTTTCCCTGTAAGAGGCTCTCTGCCTTCCCCAGAGCCCCTCCCCCTGCCCTCAGGGAGGGGCTGAAAGTGGGAATCTTCTCTACCTTTCCAGGACTCTGTGTGTGTGTCTGTGTGTCTGTGTGTGTGTGTGTGTGTACACACATGCGCACCTTGCTCAAGGTCACCCTGCGTCCAGGGAGGGGAGAGGAGGAGAGCCCAGGCCTCCTAGCTCCCATTAGAAGCTCCAAGGGTTTCAGCTGCCTCTCCCCTGCCTAGGGCTAGGTATCAGGTGGAGGCCATGTCAGAAGCCCAGGGCAGGCCCACACGCAGCTGGAGGACCCCCACACTCATTTCTAGGCTGGCGCCTGCCTGTCCGTGCACCACTGTGAGATGAGGGCACAAAGAGGGTGCAGGCCTGAGACCAGGAGGCAGTGGGAACAATGGGGAGCCTCAGCGAGCTGGACTGGGGGCACGGGCTCAGGGGCCAGCAAGAAGCTGCCAAGAGCTGGAGGAAACCAAAGCAAAGGTCAGGAATGTTCCCAGGGCTTCTGGGCCAGCAGCCCGTACTGTGCCAAGGGTATGGTGCTGCCAAGGGAGGGGGAGTGTAGGAGGGAGAATAGCCATTGCTGGAGCCCGAGATTGGGGCAGGTCAGGAGAGAAAGTTCCTGGGCAGGAAGGGTGGGCAGCGTTGATTCCAGTTACAGGAGCTCGAGGTGGGAAGTCCCGGTCCCTCCCCGGCAGGTTGGACCAGACCCAGCATGCCCAGGACCCAGGCCTTCTGGCCCCTTTGGAGCAGTTCAGAGGGTGTGTAAGGAGTACGCTTTGTTCTGAGCGGGTGTTTTTCAGCCTTGGACCTGTTGACATTTGAGACTGCTTGACTCTTTGTTGTGGGAGTACAGGGCTGTGCAGTGTGCATTGTAGGGTGTGGAGTAGCATCCTTGGTCTCTACTCACTAGATGCCAGTAGCACCCCTACCCTTCCAGTTGTGACAACCATAAATGCCTCCAGAGGTTGCCAAATACACCTGGGAGAAGTCCCCTCTCCCCACTTGAGAAACTGGTTCAGAGAAACACTTTTCCTAGGGCTGAGCCCATGTTCCAGGAATTTCCTTGGGGCCCAGGGTGGGGGTTGGTTGGGGGCCAAAGTTTCTGGTCCTTGAAACAGTCTGTGCAGGCTGAGCTCTGGGCCCAGCACTTTCATAGTCTACTGTTTCAGAGCTGAGTGAACATTCCTAGCTTCATGAGCGCGTGATTGAGCAGTCTACACAGCACGCGACACTCAGAAGAGCCCCACACTTGGTTTAATCTCTATCATTGACTCATTTTCATCAGGCACTGGACCCTACAGATGATGTAGTCAATCTTGTGTAAAATATTTACTATCTGTCCCTTTATAGAAAAACTTTGCTGACTCTCTGGGGGTATAGTCAAACCTTCTACAATGTTTGTTAAGACAATCAGAAGCTCCAGGCCCCTCGGGTCCCCAAAATCGATGACTTACAACTCTATAAGTGATTCTTTCGGCATTTGCCCCTGTATCTCTAATAACATGCTTATATGGCTGCTTCTTGGGAAGTAGCATTACCTATGATTCAGCCTTCATTCCTACTCCATACCCCAACCCCACATGCATAGCATATGTGTGTATGAGCATGCACGTGTGCACATACATGGGAGTACACACATGCATGCACACACTTCCCAGTCATCATTCTCCAATATTGTCATTTTGAGTATTTACAATCAGATGACTATGTATGCTACTTAGAATTGCTTTTGGTTTTTCCCTGGAGGAAACAATTGTCTTTTTTTTCTTTTGCTTAGTTTTCTGTGTCTTTGTCACATTCCAAACTCTCAGCCAGTGTCCCAGATCTGAGCTCACCTTTCATCCGTGTCTGGTGTTTGACCACCTGTGTCTCCTTGGAGACACCTCCTCTGTCAGAGTTGTAGCTGTGCTCCAGCCTGGACTGGGCTTCTCACCCACCGCCCATCACTGACCTGGTCCTGGGCTCTCCCTGCACCATCTCCTGCGGGACTCCCTGCTGGTGCTCCTGTTTCCTGATGCCATGCTTTCCTCCTCGTTGGTGTTCTCTCTCGTTTTGCTGGAGCACTTCTGGCACAGTGGTACTCGGTCCTGGGCAAGTCTTAGAATGACCCAGAGAGCTTTAAAGTACTGACGCCCAGGCCCCAACCTCAGAGAATCTCATTTAACTGGCCTGGGGTGGGCCCAGAGGCTCTTATTTTTGAAGTGTCACACAATAGTTTTAATGTAAAGATTTGGTGGCAAGATTGAGAACCACTGCTCTAGTAGCTCCCTGATGAGAGGTTCTGGGGAGGAAAATGTTTTGAAACCGGGCATGCTGAAAATGTCTTTATTCTGTTCTCCGTACCTTGATTGACAATTAGGCTGGGTGTTGGATTCTAAATTGGAAATAATTTTCCTTCAGTATTTTGAAGGC